GGTTGTGTCGGGAAGGTGAGCATCATAGAGTGCCAATTTAAGAGAAGAAAGTATTCTTGCATCGAGGGAGTATTTGAGTGGAGGCTGGGCTCACTCTTATTTCCTGTCATGCGAAAGTACATAAACAAAAGCTCCCATCCTCTGGGAACTTGCTGCCTGGCCCACCCACCCCCAGCCTCCCACCCTGCCCTCTTCCCAGTTCTCACAAAGCTGCAGCTGCAGCGGCTTGGTTTCAGAGGATCAGAGCCCCATGGAGGAATGCTGTCTGAGGTGCCTCTCCCTGGGGGGACATCTTCAGTGCCCTTCGGAAGCCATGAAGGGAGAGTTCCAAAAGATAAAGTTCACACTCCTGGCTGACCCCCAGGCAGATGGCACCAGAGAGAGGGGGGCGGGCAGGAGGCTGGACATGGTGCTGGGTGCTCTCATGTCGGCTGTGGTGTGGAGGGTGACAGGAAGGGGAGGCCTGTGGTCCCAGCTGCGATGGTTCTGCAGCACCTTGGGGGCAGTGGGGCAGGGAGGGGACAGGTAGGGGTACCCCTACAAGGCTGAAGCCACAGGCTACTGGTGGGGAGAATGGCGGCTGGGAGAGGCTGAAGACAGTGACCAGGTGTCCTGACTTAGGGGCCATCATCTGAGACAGGTGATGCAGGAGAGGGCACACACGTGGGAAAGCACACCGCCCCACCCCCACCCCAAGTGTGCGCACACACACACAGACACACACGTGCAAAGTAACAAATGAAGTGCAAAGTATTCTCCACTCCCAATTACAATTCTGAATGTGCCCCGCCCACCTCTGAGGAGCAGGAGGGGGTAAGCAAATTTGCGGATCGCTCAATTGTATCTGAGGCGCTTCTGATGAAATGACTTCTCTTCCAAGGTAGCGTCGAGGTGAGGGGTGGCTCTGTGGCCTGGCAAGTAGGCCACATGGTATCCTCATGGCTGGACAGGTGTGCTCGCAGATGCAAGTGGCCCCTCTGGTAAAGACCGAGGTCTGTTTCCTCTGGTCACTTAGTCCCTGTGCCCCTCGACCTCTCTGTTCTGACCCAGGCCCTCGTCTACTGAGCCTCCCAAAACTTCTGCACCTGAGTGGTCACTAGGAGCGACCTCCCTCAGAGGGAGATGAGCTGCCAGAGGGGGCCTGAGGTTCTCACTTGCCCCCCCAGTCGAGCAGTCTGAGCTCTTTGCCCCATGGGTGCCTGGTGGTGCCTGGCTACATGGATGGTCCATAAATGGGGGGCCAGCCGTCTGAACCACCAGCAGTTCCATGGGAGACAGATGTGGTCGTGTGCCTCCCCACCCTGCGGGCCACTCCACGTCGGGAGTGACCCCACCTTTCTGGCTTGGCTTCTCCCCATCCCCGACCGGGCTGTTTGGGGCAGGATGTTGTCCTGAACTGGGCTCAGTGTGGCCTGCCTGGCTCCTGGTGCTCGGACGACAGCTTTGGAGCCTTGACCACCTTTCCCTTCTGCCTCTGCAGACTGGTGGGCGTCAGGAGACCAGCCGTCCTCATTTGGCCCAGAGTGCAACACCAGCCTTGCTGCTTCTGCACCCTCATTGCAGGGGCTGCCCAGCCCACTACCCTAGTTCCTCCACAGCATGGGCTCCTCTCTGAATGGCTGGTTGGCTTTTTGTCTTTGCCTGTTGGGATCTAAGCTACCTGACGGTGGGGTCGCACACACCTTATCTGGCAGGTAACTAACGCTGCTCCTTAGGACAACCCTCGTACACAGAACTCAAACTCCAAATTTACGGCCGCAGAGTTAATTCCGACTCCTGGAGTTAGAACTGCCCCTGCGGGCTTCCGAGGCTGTAACTCTTTACAGGGGCAGAAACCTCACCTTGCTCCCTCAGGTGAGTTTGAACGGTTGACCTTATGGACAGCCGCCAACTTGTAGCCCACTGTACACCAGGGCTCATGCATGACGGGACACAGAAAGTGGGATAATTTGTCAAGAATGTGCACAAAGCACGCCTTCAATATGCAATAGCTTCAGACAAGGGGGATGGGTGGGAATGAACGTGATGTGGGATTGAAGGAAAGCCTTATTTAAAGAAAAGGGTGACTTGATCCAGTTTCATAGAAGGACCCAGAGATGGGGAGGGGCTTTCTGGACTTTTCTTAATTATGTGTCATTGTTCTTCCTTTCAGTCCCTTCCCGAACTTCTCTCAAGGCCTTTAGGGTGGCCATCTGTGGGCAAGACCGCATTAAAGGTTCAAAAGCAAAGACGTCACTTTGAGGACAAAGGCCAGGGCTTTTTCAGTCACCTCCCAGACCCGGGAAAGCAGAACACGGAGCGAGCCGCACAGGAACTGAGACCCAGAGCTGTGGTGTCTGTCAGTGACGAGCACGACATGCCAAGCACTGCCGAGGGGCCAGTAAATGTGACTTGAAGGACGGTCAGCCAGGATGCTCCTTAGAAGCCTGACGGTGACTTTCCCTCTTGTACTTTGGACAGGTCATCAGGAGGGGCTGGTCTCTGGAGAAGGACACCATCTCCATCCGCTACACTGGTCTAGGGCCGGCTCAGTCCTGAACCACATTCCCCATCCAAAAGCCTGACACCCAGAGCACTGGCCAGGAGTCAGGATGGGAGATGGAGGACGGGGTTTACTGCATATTCATGGCAAACTTTCTCTCAAGTGTGCTCCCGCCCAGGACCTGCTATCTGCGGCTGCCTCCTCTCCACACAGCGCCTTGGGCCCACAGCCAACCCGAGCAACTGAACTCTTCCCTCTGCTCCCACTGGGACCACCTTGGTTTCTTAAGCCTGCTGCCCGGAGGGAGGTCTGTTCATTCTGCAGCCACTCCAGGGTCCCCATGTGCGTCACTAACAGTTACTAAAGGTCTCCACCAGTCCTCAAAGTGCGCTCCAGAGCCACCTGCCTTAGAACGGCCCAGGCTGATCCTGTCCCCAGGATTCAGATTCTCCTGTGTGTGCTGGGCCAGGCCTGGCCTGCACGCTTCCCTTCCGACCCCCAGGGGCTGTCAGTGGGCTCGGTCCCTGCAGCTCTGGGCTCTTCTCTCTGTGCCTGACCACGCCCCCCACTTTTTGGAACAGGGCCATCTTCCTGGTCAGCCCAAGCCACACAGTCACTGGAGCCCCTGGGCCAGCAGGGCTACTGATGTGTGCGCGCACACACACACACACACACTGCTGATGCGCGCGTGCACACACGCACGCACGCACACACACACACACACACACTGCTGATGCACACACGTGGGTGGGCACATACACAAACTGCTGATGCACACACACTGCTGGGATACGTCCGAGCATACGTTCTTCAGAGAGATGGGCGGCACCAACCGACGACGGGGACCACCACACACACACACACACTGCTGATGCACACACACCGACGACGGGGACCGTCTTCGTTTTCCTTGGAGCAGCTGGCGGAGCAGTGAGCCTCCTTCCCATGGTTGGTTCTGGGGTCCCAAGGAGAGGAGGCCCTTCCCCAAGGGTGCTTCTGTCCTGACAGGCACCTCGGGCAGGACTTTGCCCAGCAGCCAGGGTTGGCGAAGGGAATGAGCTGGCCTTCACAGAGCAGGAGGAACCCCGGCTTGTTTGCATGGCCTCCTGCAGTCTCTGGTGTTTGAACACCAGTGGGTGACATTCAGCACATTAACCCACACCAGGACTGGACTGCTGTCCAGGGCAGCACACCTGCCGGAGGCAGCCTCGCCAACAAGGTGGTGGTCGTACATGGGACGCACGGATTCCCAGACTGCAGAAGTGGATGGAAGGAAAGCAGAAAGGGCTGTCCCCTGCCCTCTGAGCTTGGACCCTCCTCACTGGGAAACCTTGGTGCTGGTGTCTTCTGACCAAGTGAAGGCTGCAGGCAGCTCAGCAGTAAGCCAGAGCCCATGGGTCCTCTGAACTCCGTCTTTGGACGCTGCTTCCAAATGTCTCCACCCCCAGATTCTTCCCCAGTGCTCTCTAGTTACGTAGTTGAAACCCGCTTGTCCTGTTAACTTCAGCTCTCAGAACAGGAGAGCCCCTAGCTACCACCTTAGTATCCCTACCCTGCCTGGGAAGTTCTGGAATAAATGAGCATTGTAAAGCAATGGAGCCTAAAGCAAGGGCACAAGTGTGTGGTGGATGGGAGCCACTGAACATCACGCCTACACGTGATGAGGGTCAGAGTCAGGGGCTTGGTCCTGCTCGGGAGCCGCCAGGGACCTCAGGAGTGGAGAGATGGACCAGTCCCTCTCCAGGGTCGGAGAGAGCGCGAGCTGGTCCCCAGGGTCTGATACATTCCATCTTCCTCTCACAGGCCAGCGTCTCGCTTCAGAAACAGAGAGATGAAAGTACCGCCATACTAAAGACTAGGAATATTTTAATTCGTGTTTTAATTACATTGTGTAATAATAATAACACAGTCTATTTTACAAGTTAAATGTAGTGAATGCATGAAATAGAAATGGTAGGGAAACAGCTAAACATGGGTCAGGAAGAGGGATTTTTTTTTTCCAAAACCAGAGGCCAAAGGGAGGTGTGTGACTAAGTGGGCAGGGCCCAAGGGGAGGTCAGGCAGGTGCAGGACCCCCCTCATCGAGGTGTGCATGTCCCTCCCCAGTGGTGTCTGCACCAAGCAGGGCTTGAGCCAGCCCTCTGACCTGGCCTGAGATCGGCTGTTTCGTGGGGTCGGGGAAGACGGCTGAGTGGGAGGAAAAGGCCGTCTGGCTCCTACACAGAGCTGGTCCCCTGGTGGCCACAGGTGGTTTTTGCCGTAGAGAAAATTAGGGGTGGAAGTGTCAGAAATCAAAATTGGAGGAAAAAAGTAAATGGTTTCCTCCTCCCCCAACAACCCCCACTCTAGAACTGCACACACCTTCTTCTCTCAAACGTAGAAAAGTCTCACTCTGGACGTGCTCACGAGAAGATCGGCATCAAAAAACTTTGTTTCTATGATAACGTTCCCACTGTAAGCGAGGTGGGGGAGAAAGGGAAGAAGGGGGGCAAGACAGAAAGGGCGCGTCAGGCCAGGAGACTGGGTCCGCTGGGCCACAAACACACATGCACCCCACCTAGAACCCTGACTTGGGCCTTTAAATCCTGACTCTGTTGTAGGTTAGAGGCTAACGTGACAGTTGATAGAGGGACTTGTTCTTGAGTAGAAAGGAGAGAGTGTTTCTCTATCCGCACACCTGGACGAAGCCCTTGTACAGCGTTCTGCATACCAGGGTGCCTAATAAGCATCACAGACTTTCTGACAACCACCCAGAATGCACCTGCTGAGTGCCCACGTACACCTGCAGAACTGGTGGCACCAATCACACATGCCACTGTGGGCCGGGTGGGCTGCCCTGCTGAGTGATCCTACCCTGTTCTTCATCTGGGGAGCCACCAAGTCCAGGGGGCAATCAAGTGGGCGAGCCCTCCTGCACCTGGCAAAGGGGTAGGCCCAGGTGTCATGTGGGTCAATGAACTCTCTTCCCTGAGTAGGCTTCTGTGTGTGGCAGCTCCCTGAAGAAACCACTCCAAATTCCTGCTGCCTGAATTTCCCGAGCCCCCTCGGTCTCACCTTACTCCTTCCACTCGGCTTTGGTTACATTAGTCCATCTGTTTCTATGCCAGGCAACCAAGAGCTGTAAACAAAGCCCCTCCTGCAGTGCTGGTGACTGGAGTGTGAGCCTCTGGGTGCCCACGGGCACTTCCCTCGTCAGAACAGATGGTACCTCCTTGTAGTTATGAAGTCAGAAGCCATCAGAATAACCTTGATTTCCAAGTTCAATGTGGCTTTCATAAGGGATCTGCTTAAAGAGACTGTCTGATAGTACCTAACTATCTGTGCAAATGACTCTTTTGTAGGCATCATTATGAAAACATTTGAAAGATTAACCCCTTTCCCAAGAGAAAATGGGAGGTGGGAAGTTACTGACAATGCTTTTGGACAAAGGACACACTGAAGGTTCTTTGAGCAGGTTGCACAGGTATTCAAATGGCAGGTTCTCCTTTGAAACCTTGTCACCAAAGGTTATCCTCCAAACCAGAATCATGGCTTACCAGATTCAGTTAAAAGCAATCAAAACCCATTTCTGCATTCTAGAAAGTTCAGGAGGCAAGAGGTAAGGTAGAACCTAGCATATTAGTGGCACCCAAATGCAAATTCACTGTTCACGAGTCAATGCTGACTCAGCAACCCTATAAGGCAGGATAGTACAGTCCTGTGGTTTTTTTCTCAGACTGATTCTTTACAGGAGTCGAAAGTCCCATCTTTCTCCCCAGTTTTCTGGCTGTTGTTCCTTCCACATCACCTCGTTTACTACAGAGAGAGCAGGGCCCATTCTCTGGTTAGCAAGGAGCCGAGTGTAGCAGGGCTCTGGGAGCTACAGCTGACACTGGATCAGAGGGAGACCACACTGGAACTGTAGGCTGAGCCTTCCACTCTCACGCCCCATCCTCCACATGACCAACGTCAGCGGCCTGTAGAGTAGAAGGCCCCTGATACTTGTTTATCCCTGCCCTCGGGCTGCCCCATTTCTAGAGACACCCCCCAATTTCCCGACACCTGCTCACTCACGTTAAGACACTGGCGGGCATCATCTGGGACTCAGGTGCTGCTTCTATCAAGGACTGCCAGGTATTGGTGGAGTTAGGGATCACAAAGCCAAACTCAAAGAACCATTCTGAAGGAAGAAGGGAGAGGCGGGGTGAGCAGGTGCCCCAGTGTAAACTGAAGGCTCTTGGTGCCTCTCCTTCAGAATGAGCCCCTTCCCACCTGAGAGCCACCTAAGAACCATCAGAAACCACCCCGACTGAAGGGTAGGCTAGGACACCGGCTTCAGCCTGTCCTCTGACCCACACCAGAGGCTGTTCTTGTGCGTTGGGGTCTGAGGGTGGGACTAGGACCAGCTGGGTAGCAAATACTCAGCACCGTCTTCTTAGAAGCCGGCTGGGTGTGAATTATACAGAGCAGTACAGCCAGGCCTGTCACTGGGAATTTTAGCTCCAAAGTACAGGCGTGCACTCTCAGGCATCACAGCGACACTCCACCCAGAGAAAGGGCTGGCCAGTTAGAGGGGACAATGCTGTCAGCAGAGCACAGCGCAGGCCCACCCTGGTCACAGCTGCTGCCTCCACAACCATACACAAGGTGCCCTGACAGAGCAGGCATCTACGCCCAGGCCCTGGGGTGGGGGAGGGGAAAAGCTCTGCAGAGGGGCTCAAGCATCCTCTATTGCTGGCTTTCTCTTGTTTTCCCTATTTGTGCACACCCCACCCCCACCCCAATCCCATGATTGGTGATCACATCTCTGTGGGGTTGGTTCCCTAGGTCCTTCACCCTCTGTCCCAACTTTCGGCACACTGGCTGCAGAATACCTTCTAGGCATTGCCCTTTGAAGTACACTTTCTGTTCCAGGCGGAACTTTTCCATCTGCTCGGTGGAAGAGAAGTTCAGCTCTCGAGAGACCGCCTTGCACTTGAGGATCTTCTTGGGAACGCGGGCTGAAAGGGAAAAGTGAGCCGTGGTGCATTCTCCACGAAAGCCCGAGAGCAGGTGCTGACGGTGTCCGGGAGCTTCTTAAGTTCTTGTCTGGGCAGACTAGTACCTTTATCTCTCAGCTGCAGGCCACATTCAAACCCAACCCACTGCCACTGCTTCCATTCCAGCTCATCACCAGAGCCTACACAGGGCTTCCCGGAGTGCCAACCTTTACAGAAGCAGCTGGCCTCAACTTTCTCCTGCAGAGCAGCTGGTGGGTTTGAACAGTTGGCTTTGCAGTTAGCCCAACACTTATCTGTCAGTGCCATGAGGAGTCCTCCAGTGGTCGACTATTTGACTGATAGGTCTTCAAGGAACATCAGATCTGGGCATTGGGATGCTAAGCCCAAAGTTCACAGTTCAAACTCACTAGTGGCTCTGTGGAAGAAAGATGAGGCTGTCTGCTCCCATAAAGATTTACAGTCTT